CAGCGAAGCCTGTGGCATAGATAAGCAAACACCTGTTTTCAGGTGGGGTCAGTACTGCCCCCTAGCGGGCCTTTTAGGAATTACGAGAGAGGTTTTGGTTTGTCATAACCACAGGGTTGTGGAAGGAACAATTCCCACAATATTCCTTTGCCGCCATTCAAACTACACAATGTTTGACTGTCCTGCTCGATGCTGATGGAAGTCAAGCATTTATTAGCAACGACCCAACCCTTGACTTAACCCCTGTCGTGTTGTGATAGAGGAATTACTTTGCTACTGTGGTGAACAAGCTTGTCGCGTGGGAGCTCACGGCTAACGCTTTCTCCTCCGTTTGCCTTAGTTTGTCATCTCTGTGGACATTAAGGCCATGTTCCTCTCCCCATCGTCACCTAGCTCCTTATTATCGTCCCTACTCTGATCTGAGTCCAGGAGCGTTGTCTCTTCGCTTGCGTTTTCTGGGTATCATTTACCAATCTGGAAAACAAAAGCTAACTTTAGTTCTGTTTTAGGCAAGGGAGGGACTGGAGCAGAAGTGAAGCTTTTTTTAAACCAAGACTGACGTGGGGCCATGAGAGGGCAGAGAAGGTGGAATTGTGGTAACCCCAAGCTGCTACAGTGACAGCCGAGGGACGGCAAGGGGGTGTGGTAGAGGAGCGACATCTGGCCCAGCCCAAGGAGGTCCAGTCTCATTGGAACCAGGATGTTTGTTTTTAAACGTGGAATGTTTTGTCTGCCTGCTTGCCTGAGACAACAGGGCTGATAAAATCTGGAAGTGTAATTCTCCAGCTCACAGTGACTCACAAGTTTAGATCCCTCAGCCAAGAATGGAATGTTCCATGTCCCATGTTTCTTATTTGACCTTAAACTTACACTAATTCTTATTAAATTCATCCTTAAGTCGATTCTCACCACGCACATCTGCAGTTCCAGCTCCCGGGGAGGCTGAGGCAGGAGATCCCTTGAGCCTGTGTTGTGGAACCCATGCGCTGGCCCTTATGTCAAGCTTGCACCGCGCTGGGTGCTGCTGCCAGGGTCTTTCTGGCGTTTTCTCTTTGGGTTCTTTCACCAGCTCTGAGTTAGAGTACTACGGAGGAAGGGCCTACAGCATAGAGAGGTTGGGTGGCAGGCTGGGTATGGTGGCCCAAGCCTGTAATCCCAGCATTTGGGAGTAGCCGAAGCAGGAGGATTGCTGTGAGTTTGAGGCCCGCCTGGGCTCCATTGCGAAACCCTTCTCAAAAAGAGAAAAAAGGCAGGTGAAGCGGCACATCCAAGATCGCACTGGAAACGGGCTCAGGAGGGTGGGTCAGGGCCTGTGGGTCTCCACTCGCACTCTCAGTCACCCTGAAGGCCTCCCTCTCAGGTGAGGGAGATTTCCTAGGGACTCTGTCGCAGGAAATTAAAGGGGCTTTCCAGAAAAAGCGGGGAGCATTGGGGGATGGGGTGGGGACCACTGACCTGATGCGAGTGGTGTGGACGTCCCCTCCTCCCTCCTGCCCCCGGCTACGGGGTAGGAGCAGCTGTGCAGCCAGGGCCAGCAGGGCAGCAGAGGGTGGAGGACAGAGAAGGGTCGCCCAGGTAAGGCCAAAGCCCAGGGCTGCTTCCGCCCTGAGCCCACTGCCGGCCTCTTCCTTCCTCCCCCCATCGGGAGGCGGGAGTCTCCTCTGGAAAAACACTGGGGCCTGGAGCTGCTGGGCTGGGTGCCGGGGGAAGGCCAGATTGCATCAGACAGCGCCCTTCCGCGTTCCGAGGAGCAGACACAGCCAGACAGGCCGGGACGGGCACCCGCAAGAGGAGACAGACACGAAGGCGCTTAGGAGATGAGGGAGGCAGCAAGCCACCCGGACCACCTGACGGCCACCTCGCCGCAGCCCCTCGGCCCAGAGGACGAAGAAGCCAGCATGGATGAATACGACCAGTACAGCCTGGAGCATCCCTGCGTGGGTGAGGCCCGCCCTGCCGCATCCTGGGTCCTTCCCCGCGCCACCAGGGTCCCCTCCTTGGACTTCTGCCCACGCTGCACCCTTCTCCAGCCAGCCTGTCCCCTGGGGCTCAGGCCACCCCCTCCCGAATCTGCCCTCCACAGAGCCCTTCTTATTCACACCTTTCGGGGTCCCTCCATCCATCGATGGAAACAGCTGGTGGGATGGCGACTGTCCCCGAGTTGCCTGCGGAAGCCCCCCACCGCCCTCCCTGCTCCTGCCATACCCGCACCGCTAACCACTGTTTCTCTGCCCACCTCTCCTGGGGCTCCTACCTGGTCACCAGCCGGGGGAGGCCGGAAAGGTCGCACCAAGAGAGAAGCTGCGGCCAACACTAACCGCCCCAGCCCCGGAGG